TAATACAGTCATTTGACAGTAAACAGGATAATCTATTTATCTACTTCAACAGAATATAGGTTAATGATATACCAACTGCTTGAAAATATGAGAAAAAGAAATGTCAAAATACGTTTTTGAAACAATTCAAATCTAGTCATTAATTACAAACAAATAACATCCCATATCTCTCTCATTTAAATACCTTCTCTGTTGAGAACAAATTCAAAGCCAGTAACGCGAGGCTAATAACGCAAATGAGCAGACGCTTACTGTTCTCAGTAGGTTTACCAGGTCTGCCTTCTCCATCCCTCCTCAGCCAAAAATCTGTGTCTGACCTTGTACTTCCCACTGTTTTTCAAAGCTGAGCAAAGAGCTACTTCAGAAGAGGCTGCTGAGAGAGCTCCTGAGAGCTGTGCAGCAGAGGTTGCCCTGCAGAAGGAAGCACTGTGATTCCTTACATGAGATAAGGGAACCTGTTTGGATGTAAATGCTGCAGTCCCAGCCCTCACTAATCATTTCAAAGCCATTTCTTAATCCTTCTATGAAGAGTGAAGTACGTAGGATCCAGATCACCGTTAGGAATAACTGCATGAAATGCTATGGTCTATGTTATGCAAGATGTTAAATAATACTTTCTCTTCTTAGGATCCACCTATTCATTGAATTTTCTCTGTGCTTTGCAGAAAGACTGCAAATCATGCCGTGCAGTGATTTCAGAGAATTTGCAGTTTTCAGTGGCATTCTATGTAAGTCTGTACCTCTAAATATTCAATTTAGCTTTTATAACTTCAAGTGCACTGTAAATAATCATTAGATCTCACTGTGCTCGTGAAATAAATACTAAAGAAACATGCTATGATGAGAAATTAGATTCATCCTCATCTCATATGGAAAAAGTGTGAACACCTACAGGAAAGCATTGTCTACTGTTTGTTTTTTTTAAAAGCAGATGGAATGAAGCAATGGACTATGGATTTTTATAAAAAAGGGTGTTACAGCTTCATGACACATTATATCATTTTTCTAAGACTGCCTTCCATTTCAGAGAACCTTAGTCCTCCCCCTTCACAGTTGCAGTTCCTTGTGAGAGCATTAGGTTTGAGACCGTTTTGAAACCACTCCATCTACATAATGTGTTTTACGCTACACACACACACTTGTGGAGTACCCACGGGAACTGTACCTGTAATTCTGTCCTGTATTTCAGGGAACCTCTGGAGCTAAATAAAAATCCTTGTTGTTCTGAAAAACACGTATTTGCTCCATCAAGAAATCCCCAGGAATTCAGTCCTTTTTCATTTTCAGTAAGTCACTAAGGCAGCATCTTCATCTGTCCTCAATAACTGACTAAGGTAGCCTAACAACATCCAAAGATTCCTGTGTATAACAGGATCCCTGAACCTGCAGAGAACACCTGCATGCTTAGACTAGTGCCATGGGCTCTGAAGCAAGACAGGTGTCCACTGTAAGAGCATAAAGCCAAATGTATGCAGATGTGTTATGCAGTTGTTCTGCAAACAGACATCTTCCATACACAACAATATGTCTGCCCTGAGGTTCTAGTGCTTAAATTAAGCTATACAAAAAGACATATCTTGTTGTCATCAAGTTGCTCGTATCTTATGGGAAAGAAGACGTCAAGATTTTAAGAAAACAAAGTAAACTGACAAAGCTATTACACACAGAACACCCTCCCCTGAAAAAGTTGTATCGGAAAACGAAATACAATACTGAGAAAAACCCTTGTGCTGAGAGACTGATTTAAAGATACTTTACAAATAAGATAAAAACACAGCCTACAGAGCAATGCTCTGGAAAGCAAAAATTTTATCTCTCAGCTTCACTTGGTATCTTCAGCTATCCCAAAGATGAGATATATAAATTGTGTAAGTCATTAACAATCAGCACAAAAAAATTATACCTAGGTATGGCAGTTTACAATATTAAAAGAATGTAATTATCGTGTGATGGCAATTGCTGAATTTCTTAAACTATACTTTAAGACAATTAATTAAACTACACTATACTTCAGCAAAGGTGTCAGGCTGAGATACTGGAGGATTACAGATTCAAATTCCGTATTGGCTTCTTCACAGTTGTGTGAAGCTCCATTAAGCACCAGGAAATCAAGCTTAAATACATTTTGAAATAACTTCCCAAGAAATAACTTTGCTATGCTTTTACAAATGCATATGCTTTCTTTGTTGTTGAAAGATATGTCCAAAAGGCAGAAGGGAAGCTCATCATTAAGTATATACACACCCAGACACGACCCTATGTGCGTCTGTGGGGGAACTACTCTTTAAAGAAGGAGAGTGGTGAACTATATAGAGCTATTTAGTAAGCGACATCTTTTGTGATACAACCAACTACAGACAGTGCCTAAGTAATGCCTTTGAGATGTAGACATCTAAAAATACAAGAGGACCACACCAAGTTTCTGAAAGCCTTATGAAGTTACTGTGGTATCAAAAGTATGAGCATGCTAAAGCTCTTTATGAAGGCCAGGGATACTAAATACAAGATCTGTTAAGTGACATAAGGCTAGATTGCTTCTAGCCTTGCCTTAAATCACAGCATCACAGAATTGTCTAGATTGGAAATGACATTAAAGATCATCGAGTCCAATCATTAACCTAACACTGACAAGTCCTTGACTAAACCATATCCCTAAGCACTATGTCTACATAACTCTTCACTAGCTCCAGGGATGGGGACTCCATCACTGCTCTGGGCAACCTGTTCCAATGCCTGGTAACCCTTTCAGTAAAGAAAGTCTTCAAAATATTCAATCTAAACTTCCTTAGTGCAACTTGAGGCCATTTCCTCTTGTCTTGTCATCTGTTTCTTGGTTGTATAGACTAATCCCCTTCTTTCTACAAGCTCCTTTAAGGCAGTTGTAGACAAAAGCACTCTGCATTCTGCCTAATACAGTGCTGTATTTCTGAGACCCACTGCTGCAGCAGCAGTATTAAATATTAAGTACTCCTTCAGTTGGGTCGATCTTTATTCTCTTTACATACATCATATGTATGTATGTATATATGTGTGTGTGTAGCTGAAGCACATAAATAAACCCTACAACTGACTACTTTAGGCTACCTTTGCCAGAGCTCTTAGTCGACTGAAGCAGAAATATCCTTAAGACACTTCGGCAAGCTCATGCTTGATTCAGACTGAAATTCTTTCTCATCTTCTACAGAACTGCAAACTCATTAATGGCTCCATACTGCTTATTGAGTCATTCAAGCATACACAGAGCATGCCAGATTTCTTCCCACTATCTCCTTCTCCCTGGGTTATATAATGACACCCTTTCATTTTTGCAAAGCTTGCTATGTTATGCTGCTTGCAAAGGCACAGATTTAGTGGCAAATACGTCTGCACTCTTCTCTTTGGAAGTGCTGGTCATCTCTCAAAACAGATAGCTTAAATGACCCCTCTAAGCTGAAGACAAAGAAAGATAATTCTGAAGGATTTTAATCTCTGAGGGATTTGAATCTATGATGTGGAAAAGCAAGAAGAATTAAGATTTTTTTTTTATTTAGAGCAGATGACTTTCCTTTCTGTTTTCTTAAATAGTTCAGCATGGAACTGGAATAAGTCCTACTGTTTGCTTTGTCCTATGGACAATAAATAAAACCCAATAATTAAAATAATTATATTACCTTACTCACTCTCCAAACATTACTCACTTTGTCTTATCTCATCCTGCCATAGGTAACAGGCATAGCAGTATATTCAGAGATGAACAAGGAACTGATGCCTTTTCTACAGGCTTCTAATCAGAGTTTGGTTGCACATAAATCCAGCAGAAAACTAGATATGAGCTTGAGGAGGAAGAAAATCACCTGATAGGATTTTCAAAAGTACAGAGGTTTTCCATTACTTAAAATGTGTTAAATGAACATGTAGATGATTTTGAAAATCCTATTAACAGCCTGCAGCTAGCACCCTGCCTGCAGTCAGAATGCCTGACCATGGTGCCATTCGGTGTCATAGGAGATGATACCGACATGACTTCTGCTGCCATATAAGCAATAACTTTATTGAATTTAGTTCCATGGAACTATCACAGATGACGTCTGCTTCAACTTATGTGTAGGTGTCCGATCATTCACACACTGGTATTAAACAGTTTCCCACGGCTTTAGTCTTTTAAGGTTACTCAGGTTTCCACAGGACAGGTGGAACAAGGACTCTAAACTCCAAGATCAGTCCTAAAGGTAAGAATTTTATTCTTTTAATATACTCTTTCACAAAGCCGCACTGATCCAGTAGCTCCAGGCAGAGTGTGTCTCTCATGACCAATTTACTCTTTTTCACTGTATGCCAACAGCATGAGAGGGTACAATGTTCAGCATGCAAAATTGCTGGTTCCCAGTTATGCAGGAATGAAAAGAAGGAAGAGCCACCCAACTGGCCAGACTCTGGGCGTACTGAACTGCAGCAGTGCCCCTGGACTAGCACACAGCTAGATCAGACCCTTCACAGAGCATCTCCTTCTGCTGCCTTTATAATCACATTAAGGAGGGCGGCTCATTCCAGCAGCCCATGAGCGCAAGAGGGTCAGAAGAACTTCACAGACTTCACAGGCATCAACATCAGTGTATTTGAATACTATGGTCAGGGCTTGATAAGAGTTCAAGGACTGAAGTGACCCTAAGCTTTTAAAAGAATGCCACAGGATTGGGAAATCACTCTAATGCACTTCTATCTTATCTGGTTGTGACCTCTGCAGCACAACAGTGTTCAGTGAAATACATCCCTCCCCCTTTATGTTTCTATATCATATGAGCCTGATTTCCATCTCCCTTGCTTGCAACACATTTTTTTTCAAACTTACAACGAAATCTGGTTAATGTGCATTACAGTTTTGCATCTTAAAAGGATGAAATGCATCTGAAATAATTCAATAATCTGAAATAATTCAGTAGCTTTATAACATGTTTATATGATTTGTTGCTATTTAAAGCATTAGAAAATGCATTGTTTATCCCAGCAAGCACACCACTTACCCTCAGCATAGGGCCATTCTGGAATACATGGGGTTCATCACAAACTACACAGTACTCATTCAGTACTGGTATCCGCTGCTCAGCAAATTCAATAGTCTGAGAACAAGGAAAATTAGAATAAAAGCATCTGCTTAAAAATAATTAATGTCAGCTCATGCTCCTGAGTGTTTCATAAAAGGGTAAGATATGGCATCCTACCTGCACAAGAAAGCCACGGTCTCTTACCGGAATGCATTTTGCACCATAATTTTGCTGCAAGGAAAAAGTTAAGCAACTTCAGTGTTGGTAGATGAATTATAAGGAAATGATAAAACATTTTAAAATTTTTGTCCAAAAATATGCTCATTAAACAGTATTTGCATCTAAAAATATCTCTTATTTGCACAAACTGGCCATTACAAATAATAAATCTTCCTACTACTTGCTTAGCGTGGGTTAGATTTTTAACATTTCCTTTTAGTTCTTAAATCTGATGAGGTTTTGTATTTTAGCATCCCTAAACCTGCCATCTTAAATGGAAACACCAGTGCCTTCACTCCATTCTAGCAAACTGGTATGTGGCAACTGCCAGTTAATTTTAACTGTGTTTTGCCTGTCCAAATACAGGCTATCTGCTTAGGCTTGAAAGACTAATGTAACTCTCAGGATAAGTGAAAACCTTTTTCGTTTGTATTTACTAAGATCTCACTTCCGTAAGCACCATGCTAACAGATCTCCGTGTTCAGATCCCACTCAAATTCTTTCTGCCTTTTTCTTTCAACATGCAGCAATATAAATTAGAAGGAACTTCTGTTACAGAATCAGTAAGGTACAAAATTCCCCCCAAGGCTGACATCTCTATCAAACCTTGTTCTGAATAAGACTCAGATCAGCTCCATTTACGCTTTTTTTCATGTGTTTTTTTTATAGGCTTATTTCTTCTCGTCTCTCTAATTGTTGAATGGGGAAACTTTTACTCTATTCTCTTGGGAAATAATCCTACTAATTGTATTCTTATATGAGATTGAAACACTTTGGCTGAGAACTGAAGAAAAGTTTAAGTCCCAACTTATTGCTTCCACAGTCCACAGGCTTCAAATTGCATTTAAGCATCCAGCCTTCCCACATACCAAGTGCCTGTATGTGAAATGTGAAATGGGACTCTTGGTGCCCTTTAAGTCAAACTGATCATGTATGTGATGATCTTGCCTCAAAGTAAATGCATTCTAGCATTAGATTACCGGTAATTTTTATAGACCACCAAGCAGGGCTTGCATTCCTTCCATATCAGCTCGTAACACCAGTAACAAAACCACTTAGGCAACATTTCATTATCTTATCAGAATCAGTGGGACTCTTCCTATTAACTTCAGGACAGAAAAGTCTTGCTATGTTAAGACACCATCCACTGATTCAAAAGAAAATGGACCTCTAAACTGCAACAAGTAAAACGCCTGTCGGCTCACCTTAAATTAATACTGCTGTGCATGTTACAGGAACCAACCATATGGCATGTATATAAATGATTTTATGACAGTATATCAATGTTTTTAGATCTGATGAGCATAACTCACAGCTTATTAAACTGATTTACCATGAGATATCGCACAGCTAATGTAATTTCATTATTCAGAAGGCACTGTTTTGAATATATGTTGGCATTTCAAGCAAGAACCAGCTGCTTCTCACTGAGAACATCACAGTACCACCCGTCTAAAGAGTAGACAGGCCTGTCTCATCAATACCTCTCTTGAGGTCCAACACAGATGGGTGCCTTGAGAGACAGAGAACAGATCCACTATTTTAAGAGGCAAAAGAATATGTGCTACCTTTTTTTTTCCCAATCAGTCTTGTCTTTAGGTAGAGAAACAGGATTAGTGCAGACTTAATTCCTTCCCTGACCTCTGACTTGCAACCAGTGCATCTGATGGTCAAACCTTTCACAAAGCACAAGTGTGTGAGAGGGGAGCTGAATCGTGACTGTGTTCCTTCCACTATGATGATGACCACAAATGCAGAGATCAGGAGGAGAGGTGTCTTGGCACCTGAACAAGCAAAACGGGTGGTGGCTTCGCCCACAAAGCAAACCATGAAACAAAAAAGACCTGTGAGACCAAGCCAAATTTGCAGTGCAGAAGCGCACACTCTCCCTTCTTCCTGTGGCAAAAAAAGAGGCAGAGAAGGAAGTAGATGATTGAACTTTTCCTATGGCCAGCAGGTACATTGAACTGTATTCAATGTGACATTGAAAATCTCTGTCTTGACCTAATCAAATTCTGCTTTTGTAACTTTAATATGTGTGCACGCACAGTTGTTTAAATCCTCCTTAAATAGACGACTCCAGCGCTTGTCTTCCAATATATTCAATATATCAAATATATTCACTAACTTAAGTCCTGCGTATTAACGCCTTTGCATAACAAGCAGCACATTCGGAAAATTATAGGAGGAAAATGAGCAGAATAAAAATTGTTACGCACAGCAGCTTGTGAAGGGGATGATGAAGATGGTGTTAAGATACCAATAAGCCCTGAGGTAAGAGAGAGCCTCCTGCTCTCTGCTATGGTGCACTCCTTGAAAGGCTCCATTTTGGATGATTTAGGGGCATTGGAGTAAGTCTTGCTCAGTAACTTGTGATTCTTCAATCCATCCAATTCTTCCATTCTAAGATTACTGGAGCAGGATCTGCTTAAAAGTTTGTGGGGCTTCAAGGTGCTGTTGTGCTCACATCGAGGATCCCCAGAACACGACCTACTTAAAAGCTTATGGGGCTTTAAAGTGATGCACTCCTCCTGCTTGACGGCTGCAGAGCAAGAACGGTTCAATAGTTTGTGCGATTTAATAGCCATTGTCTGTTCAGCCCTTGGGTCACTCGACAACGAGCGGCCAAAGGTTCTGTGAGATTTTGTGGCACACACATCCTCTGCCTTCACTGTGCTAGAACAAGTCCTTCTCAGGAGCTTATGAGTTTTGGAGATGCCATCCTGCTCTGACTTCAGTTTTGATTTATTTTTACCACAGCCAGGTGGAGGATAACTTGGCGACCTTAGAAATAAGGAGAAGACAAAGTTGAAGAATAATCAAAATGGTGTGCAAATCAAGCAAGACCACACATTATGTAAAAATTTTTAAGTGTCACATGCCTTTATGTGTTTTTCTAGTGATAAACACAGCTCAACATTAAAAAAATGAACAATTTTATGTAGAACAAATTTTTCTATACCAAATAGACATCTTACTCCTATTTACACACAAGCTCAACAATCAAAAAGATGACTAACAAGTAGAAGTTAGAGCTATATCATTACAGCTCTTTGTAAAGGTCTCTAAGTCTCTAAACAAACCATTTATTCAGGAAATTATCTTTGAAATGAAACCCACATTATTTGAAATGAGATTGTAACAAATTTTCCTATCAAAATCATCATGGCGTGATCCCACTAAAGCTACCGCCTTCTGGACACAGCATAACATATTCGATGCTCAGATTCAATGGAAGATATAATAAGCAGTGAAACTTGCAGGTAGTAAATCAAATTTAATTCAGCTGAAATAAACCTCATTTTTCAAAAACCTTATAATAACCTAGATGCTTTTTGGAAGACTATTTGATGCCTTTTTTTCCTGCTTTAGACAAATTATAGCTCTGTAAGGGCAAGGGACTTAAATTCTGAATGCAGAAAGCAAATACCAGAATGGTTTTTAGGAAACACCACTCAGGTGAACTATCACATTTCTCTAAGGTTCACATTTGCCTGTCCTTGCAAAGCAAGACCATGTAACAGGTATGCTGAATCACTTCTCTGTGCTTGATAAGCAGCTCCAGTCTTTGGAGTATTTTTTGGTCATGGATCAAGTAGAATAGGTTTCAAGGGAAGAGTAAAGCAGGTTCCCCCAGCCTGCTAGCAGGTGGTGACAACAGAAGACACACGTGGAGGTTGCTGACTGACTGCCGCAACTGCCTCATCACCACCCTCCTGCAGACGGGAGGGAGGAATGGTGCTTCTAGGCGAGAGGCGTCCCTGCATTTGGGCTGAGCCCCCTTAGGACAGGCACTGCAGCAGCTGCCAAATCAAGAGGAAAAAGATTGGACTGGCTTTCTTATGCCCTTTCTAAACAAAATCAAACCCTGAGACACAGCATGTGCTAGGCAATGGTGCATGGCATGGTAGGGAGTAGGTAAATTTTCTACTTAAAAGACCACCTTCCTTTCTGCCTTTGTAAAGACAAATAATCTTTCGTCATCTTTCACACTCCTCCCTTCTTCAATGTGAGTGATTGCTGCACTTCCTCGCTTTTTTACACATAGAATTCAGAATGGCGTAACTCATCAAAATAAGGAATGTTCAGAGAAGCATTCAGTTCAAATTCACAGAAAGGGTGATATGTCAAATGCTCATAAGCATGAAAACATGGTAGAATAAATAGTCACATTCCTGAAAGAGGTAAAACCAGAGCCTGATTTTACATACACTTACAAGTAACTGGTAGAAGTCATAACGAATTCAAATGAGCAATACAGAGATTACTTCTTATTGCTTCTTCTTATTTCTGTTTTTAATGCCTTTGTCCTTCAAAATTCTGTGTCTGCATTTCAGAAGTGGTGAACGTTATTGTATTCAAGCAGTGGAAAAAGGGTGGGTGCCTCAGCAGCTCTAAAATTCAGTCTTTCATTAATGACCATTCTAATTTTTAAAACCCAAAAATACACACAGTTGTGGAAGGAACAGCTAGACAACCATAATTTTAAGTATGTATATAAAATATGTATTTTATATATGTTATAAATTACTTGTATATATTACTTGTATATATATTTTTGCTATTCCAGTAATGGTCAAATGCTATCAAGCTATAAAGACACATATTTAACAAGTTAAATAACATAAAATGAATTATGTCCAATTCTAGATGAAATATGGCTGGTGGAGAGAAGGGGCAGAGAAGGGCAATGAAATGTTCTGTTCTGCCTTCGAAGAAGAAGCTGCAACTGTACCTAGTTCATTTTTGATGTCACGCAAGGCAAGGACTGGAAACCCATAAGGTAAGATATAAATAGAGCACTTCTCTGCGGAGAAAAGTCAACATTTCACCTTGTGAAGTCTGCTGTGGCTTTTGAACAGGATTTGGTGCTAACAGCTCATTTTCCTTGCTATTACCTGCGCAATGTAGAAAAGATGTGCAGAGGGGATTTCACCTTCTTGTCAGACACCTTCTTATTGTGCGTACAATTAGATTTCTCTTTGCTGTTCTTCCACTGTTGTGTAACAAACGTCTGCATGATTCTGCAAATTGAGAAAGAAAAAGAATTTTCTTTTCCTATCCAAGACATACTGACCTTAATGCTAGGGTCTCTCTGTTCACCACACAGGCGACATGATGCAATGTCCTCACTGTGCAGGCAGAGCTTTCCTGTCACATATGTGGACTGATTATTGGGTGCCTCAGCTTCTCAAAAATGTTTTTTTTCTTCCACATAGAGCTAATTTTCACATAACTCCTATGGAGAATACAGTTTGTGTAAACAACCACTGTATGCCTCTCATGGACATCTAGGGACGAACTGATTCAAAGGTATCCCACTAGCTAGAGGCGTCTGTCTCTTCAGCGATCACAGTGATGGGCTACAGCAGACACACGGCTCAGCAAGGAGCATATTCTCTCCTAAGGCACAAACACAAAGGTAGGGATGTTGAATATTACACTACCCAGAGAAGACAGAGCCAAACACTTTCCAGAGATGGACAGCAAAAGGCACTGGTCACACGTTGTGGCAAGGAAAGCTAAAAAACATGAAGGCTATAAAAAGAGGACATCCACAAGAAGAGAGGTTAAGTACAAGAGGGTGCCCACAAAGACTGCCTGAATCTCTGAAGGAACTAATCTAACTCTGAAGTTAGTGTTACCTGGAGCAGGAGATTGCACTGGGTGACCTCCAGTAGCTGCTTTCAAGCCAAATTACTCTGTGACTCTAATCTAGCAGTGGGGGTCTTCGAGTGATAATATCAAAGTGCAAGTTGATACGGACTTTACAGAAAATTTAGTGAATCTTCAAAGACAAGTATCCTGTTTCCACAGACATGAGGGGCCATGAGGTTCATGGGTATTCTGACTTCTGCTCAGCTGTGAGGTATGGAGCTCTGTCCTTTAAAATGTATTGTGGAACCTTAGGTAATTACCCAGTGAATAAACTAGTGACAGTGTAAGCACTGAAATATTTTAGGAGACTGTTCATGTCTGCTGTCGAATTTTTTTGACTTCAAAGTCATGTGCCACAGAGATTTTGATAGCATTGCTTCATTTGTAAGACTAAGAAAATGCTGCACTGAACTTCTTTTTCTGCATTACAAAGCAGAAGATTTTTTTTTCGTAAGAGATTCTTAATGTTGTAATAGTCAGGTATTAGAACGTATACTCTTGTCATTTTTTTACACATAAATAGCTTACATGATGAGATGACTCAGCAAAATTGCATTAAATTGAATTGTACTGTGAACACATGAAACTGCTATTTTTTTTTGACTCTTCTTCCCTCTTGTCCTCAAAACACAGATGGCCTAATTACTCTGTTCCATCCTAGAGGCCACCATGAAAGCACAGTCCCCTTAGGGTATGCGTGATGCTCAAAAGGATTCCTGCACCAGAAGCTTCACCATCTAAGCAGAAACATGAATTTGAACATTGCTAGCTACAGTCTTTTGAACTCTTGTAGCTTACTTCCTAAATGGCAGCAAAGTGACAGAAAACCCTGGCAGGCAGCACAAATCAGGTTCTCCTCAAAAACTGACAGACTGAGATTAAAAAGGGAAATCCTGTTATTTTTTTATTAAAGAAAAACAAGTTCAAAATACTTTGATCAAATCAACCTGAAAAATCTTTGAATTTTATTGTACCTGACATGGTCTGGGAACTAAAAAGAGTGTAATATTTGCCTAAAACCAGGGGTTTACACTTTTCTAGACTTACTTTTTCAGCTGATGTCCCAGTCCAAATCTCTCCTTAGTAGAGATCTGAAATACATCCACAGTTGGCACTATGGAAAAAGGAGATACTGTTGATATATGAACTTACAGCAATAATCAAGAACTCACGTCCATATAAACCATGTTTAAAGACCCTGTTCTATCTGGAACTTTATATAGACAATGCCATTGAAACAGTATTGAAAGTGGACATGTCACCTAAACCTATCAATAAATAGGTCCTTTCTGGGTTATCAGACAATATAATCTGTAGTTTTACAAAGTAATATTTTAGGAATTGAATTTTCCCAAATGTATCTCTTCCCATTAATTTTAATTACAAAAATGTGTCTTTGTTTTTCATAATATAAAGTACTAAAGAGCAGATTCAGATTAAATGCATGTGGACTGGTAAATCACTTCACCTAATCTCTTAAATTTTCTTCCAAGTAAACAGTCTTTACACACTACTCTTCCTGTGACTATGAAGGCAACCCAGAGTGGAATAAACTGAACTAATTAGTATCTGGGTTTTCTTTCTGAGGGCATTTTAATTCAAGATCCACAGTCATCACTGAAGTGAGGAATTCCAGTGGCCAAGGATTACCCTTAATTTTCCTCAAGACCCATCCTAACACTGGTGTATCCATATTCAGCTGCCAGGAAATTGAAAGTGTATGGGCTGAAGGCTGGAAAGTAGCTTCTGGTATTACTAAAATCCGTTAATAACATTTACTAGATAGATGTGGCAGATGGAACCCAGCACTTTTTGAGAGAGCTTCAGGTCCTCAAGGCAGGACAACAACCAACACATAGTACAAGCACAAATAGACTTTATACTTCATATTACATACAGTGGTAATGGCTACAGTAAAATAAAAAAAAAGGAATGAAAACAAAACATCTGGGGTTGGTTCAGATTTTATTAGAACAATTAAATCAGCACTTTATATTATCCAAATCACTCAGAAAGCCAGATTCTATTCAGAATGTCAAAGTGGATACTTTTATTTTGCTTTAATAAATTAAATTTAAAAATAAAGTAATATATATCTAACCTGGCCATCCAATTTCACTTCATTCAAAGCCCTTTCTCTAATGTTATTACTCAAATATAATGTCAGTTTTAAAGACAAACTGCTGATTTTTTTGAAAGATATTAACTATTTTATTAAGGGTAGCAATGTCTTTAGATTATCACATTTAGGACACATGGTAGGTGGGAGATATTTTCAATGAGAATCATCATATTTAGACAAGCAATCTTAAAATCTGACATCTAAATCACAACTGTTGCCTAAACTCTACAGTCAGAGGGCACAGCCGGGTACCTCCAAAAGCTGATTCATACTCATCTCAGGCAAGTTTCTAAGGCATGTGGGAGAAACTGTCCACAAGCACAACAGTAAGTCAAGCTACTAATCAGAAGAATTACTATCTAAAATCACGATACTAAACAGCTACAAGGTGGTACTAATACCCTTGCATTGTGCTTTTGAGTACACTACCTTTGTGTTTCTTTTATCAATCAACAGAAAGTACTACAGGAGAAAAAGATAGAGCATAACGTTATTGCTCAATGGTTTCAAAAAAAACCACAATTTTAAGGAGGAAGAGGAACTGGCAGAGAAAGAGTCTTGCGAATAGAAAAGATTGTGGTTTGCATCGATCCTTTCCAGTAAATAAAGAGACATGGCTGCAACAGCAGCTGTGCCCATAGAACCAGTACCAGCGAGGCACTTCCCTCTGGTGCTGATCTTGCCTTTCTCAGTACTCAGGCATCCCACAATCAGTCAGCTGCAGGACTGGGAACTAAGATTCTCATTTCAACCTTGTCAACAGTGCAGAAGATATCTTATCGTTACTTCTCATTTCACTAGATCATTTCTTACCGCATGTTGCTCTTCAAGCCTCATCTTCTCTTATTTGCTGCACTTTTTTTCTTTAAATTACATTTTGACAGAAATATTCTGAATACTAATACTGCTACCTGCCATGGCAAATATATGTTTAAGATTTGCAAATTTCCAAAAATTAATGACGCAATAAAATACAGAAAAAATATCAAAGTCAAGGAAAAAAAAGAAAAAATTGATGTCATTAAATGTTTATTTGAATGAATAGAATATTGCTTAGAGTTAGCATCAGCAGGCAACATATCACATAAAAATAGCTTACTGAGACAAATTTTGCTAAATATATTATGACTGGAAATATATATTCATTTTCCAGAGGCAGAATTCTTGCATAGATACAGGACTGAACTGACAGCTTGTACTGCAAGCCTCCAAAGCTGGGCAAGTTATAATCCAAACAGCAACTTAATTCTGACTTCTCAGTGTAAAAATATATCTTAAGTTGACGCTTGCATATGAATGTTTCCAAATATTCAAAATCAGTTGATTCTTCAGGAGCTTAACCATTTTCGCTCTCATGAGAAGGCTTTACTCAAAAATGCATTTAACTCTGAAGATTCTCAGAGTTCACACAGTTATACAGAAAGCTGAAAGGACAATTACAATGGCCTAATTTTTCAAAAGTTTGTGAAAAAGGGCATATTCATGTGTTGCACAGGTCTGTGTACATATACATTATCAGTCATATCGTATCTGTGCAGACGATGACTGATTTCCAAAATCAGGAAATCACATATTAGAAAGTGTTGATCTTTACTCCTTAACCTGTTTTCTACGGGAAAGGATAACAGGTTCCAAAATTCAAGCTATGAAAGTTTAAATTAAATGCCCATGTCATTTTTGGGAGCCTAGCCATGCAAATATACATAAGCAGAATTTCAAACCAGTAGGACTGCTCTCAACAGTAGATCTAAGCACATGTACAGGCAAAGATTTGGCAGTGAATGAGCATCTATCACCCAGTACATGGCTCAGACTGAGACACCATTCAAGACACATGAAGAATGCACAGGTGACTAACCTGGACCAGTTAGGTACTGTGTGAGTGAACAGTGTAATCGCACTATTATAGGCTCCGTGCGAATTACATCCCAAGCCACAGCAATCTCTTCCTAGTTCAAGACAAAAAGAAAACAACAGACACCATTAGCCATCACGAGGAACTGCTGCATTTTGTCAGTCTACTTTAGGGTTGTTATAAACAACATCTGTGCATTTACCCAGTTGTGGAGCATCTACTCCAACTTGAAGCTTTGCCTGCTGATGCCCCGAAGAGCAGTGTTAGACTGCTTCCAGTTACTGAATATGGTCACTGAAACTGACCACAGCTTTATACACAACGCTACATCTACATCTGCAGAGCAGGCAGACCACATTCCTATCTACCCAGAGATACTGCTTCAAAGCTGAGAAGAAAAAGAGCAAATAAAGATGGAAAGGAAACTCATTCCATAACACTGGGCAAAGGAAACATCTATTTTGTAATACTGGTTAAAATCAAGATATGATCAGGTTTTCCTAAATTTTAGAAATGCCTAAGAGCACCAATCTTCTGCGCAGTGCTGACCTGAGAATACGATATATTTGTGCAGAGGCTAATGATGCTCCTGAAAGCACTAATTTTTATTCTCTATCTAGAGGACAGGAAGTTACTGCACAGATGAGGTGAGGAAGCATGGAGTTAATGACAGCATAACTGTTAGGAAGCCACACTACCAGTCAACAGCACCGCTGCCCCATGTCTCCTTTGCTACTCAGGCCTCTCCCTAACCAGCTGCAGATGCTGAGAAGCACACAGGAATGCTCCAGCCAAGGTTTTCTTCCTTCCAGGACTCTATGAAGTGTTTTTGCCTCACTAATGTCTAGGATAGCAAAACAACAAATGCATTTCACTCATATCACTTAAAACATTTACCATTCACAAAGCATGCTTGAAAGGAAATACAGACACAGTAAATAAAAGCCTACAAAGCATTTTAACTATGTGATCATAAAAGGAAAAGGAGACCTCTCCACTGAGTAGCAAACAATAATATGACAGCCACTTGTGAAGATCAAGTCTCTGAAGAAGGAAAGTCTCAGTGGCTGTCTAAGGAGTCTGATGTGTAGCAGAATTAAGTGGGTATTAACGTTCATTATGTAATTTTGTGATTAGATTACTTACATCAAGAAAGCTAACATCAATATGCAGATCAATATCTACATCATCAATGGCTCCATATTCCCTGAAAGGAAAGAATTACATTACATTAGAGCTCTTTAAGATACTCCTCAGCCCAGGAGTACTTTTAACAGGGAAGATTTTCTGAAGGATAATCTTGTCTGTAAAATCAGAATGGTTATAAAATTCACATTTACATAGACTGATCAATAGTCCCAGCAGGTGACTGTCTGCTGCACTGAAACTTTCTTTCTGTGGATCTTGCTTAAGCAGGCTAAATCTTTTTTTCTACTAAATCTCTCCCAATTCTCTCTTCATTGCAGCTCTTTTTTTTTTTTGTCTCTTGTATTGCACAAATAAATAAACAATAATGGTCACATGCTGCTCCTATTTATGACAAAGAAAACCCTAGTTAATTTTCAGAAGTATTTCAGGTTAATAGCCAGTAACTTAAGGAAAGGCTTCAGATAAATCACTGAAGACAAATATAACATAGCCTAGAGGGTGGCATATTATACCTGTGTGATTGCTTCACATGTTCAGGCATTTGTTTGTCAAAACATAAAGATTGCCCTGTAATGCACTCAAGGCAACGGTTACCTTATTTCATCTGTTAGGTGTAGTATTGCTGGAATCCCCAAGGTTCACATGTAACTTATGCTCATAGGTGTTTTATTGCCATCTGAAATTTTACATTTAAAGTGCAACTATTCTGCCTCTTATTTTCTGACTCATTATGATTGCCCTTCTCCAACATACTTGAAGAATTCTGAAAAATGGGCCTAGAAAATGCTAGAAAAAAACATTCATATATCTAAATAAAAAATGCTTTCCTTTGTATACAATTACTTAAGTGGATAATGTTGTAGAAGTGCAGTCACTCTCAATTTTTCACAGATAAGTTTCTAGTCACTATTTTTTTCTTTCCATTACATTTATATACTTGCTCTCACAGTGACTTTCACTTTTTTCCCTTAAACTAGACCAAAACAATGCACAGCAGCAGTTGTGTATAAATAATACAGTAATTTTGAAATACAAATATATTTTTGCGAATATTACTATCTCCCAACAGAGTGGCCTCAGCCTCATGGTAGGACCCAGCTCACACTGGAAGTTTAGTGGAGGGAACCCTTTCCACCAAACCTCAGCAACTCGACGGCTCTTTCTGGTAAGGCAAAACCCTAAGTCTCTGTCTAGATCAGACACGTCTGCACGTAGCACAGACCGGTCTAGTAAACAGCTGGCCAGGAACAGCTTGTTATGAACTCTTAAGTAATATCTATGAACACAGGATGGTACTAGTCACGTGACTGAGATTAAAAAGGCTATGAACAAGTGTAATTTTACAAATTAAACAGAAATATAGTTGAACTAAAGAAACACAAAAACATTAGTGGAAGAAAGGATAAAAATAAGTTACAACTGTGGAACTTCCACACTCACTGAAATCCCTTTGCCTCAACTCCTTTAGCAGCCGAGAATAGATTTTAGACACATGATGCTGACTCTAGTTTTACTTCCTCAAGCTGAAAGGGCAGAGGAAATCATGTTTTCTTCCAGCACCTGCAGTTTATGATCTGCTACCTACAATGGCTCCATGAGCACATGTTAATTTTGAAGGTCGTAGAGGTCCTCTGTCCATCAGTGCATAAGCAATGTAAATGAGTACTGGAGAGTTTGGATCAGTTGTTCCAGAGCTCTTTCTCATGGCTTTGGTAGCCTGATTTCAAAGGGCAGTGGTGAAAAGCACGCAGGTACAGGAATTTCACTTTTTCATATTCCATTGACTCTGTGCTAGCAAGATACTAGTAAGAGGTCCCTTCAGCTTGGAGAGTAGGAGGCTGAGGGGTGACCCCATTAATCTATCAAGGGTGAGTGTCAGGAGGACAGAGCCAGGCTCTCCTCAGTGATGTCCAATGACAGGACAAGGGGCAACAGGTGCAAGCTGAAGCACAGGAAGTTCCCCAAAACCATTAGGAAAAACTTTTTTACTGTCAGGGTGACAGAGCACTGGCACAGGCTGCCCAGAGAGGTTGTGGCGTCTCCTTCTTTGGAGACATTCAAAACCCGCCTGGACAGGTTCCTGTGTGACCTACTGTAGGTGATCCTGCTCTGGCAGGGGGGCTGGACTAGATGATCTGTCAAAGTCTCTTCTAATTGCTAGAATTCTGTGATTCTGTGTGAAGAGAGAGTCAACTGTCTAGGAAATATGTATCTTAGAGAGTGTCACTGTCAGACAGACTTCCCTCTTCACAGAGTAGTGGAGCTCAAGGAGAGAGATGAAAGTGAAGGCTTAACACTGTGTTTCTCCTTTCCAAGAATTCATAAGTATTTTCAACTGCAACAAAGGGGAAGAAGCATTTAAGTTCTCCACATGGCAAAAGCAGCCACAGATGTCAACTTCTACTACAGTGAGCTCAAGGTGATCACACTCCCACTGCAAGAGCTGATTCAACAGATTAGACGAATTAAAGGTTTTGAAAGGTTACCTATAATGTTTCAGTTTTAGAAGCCTGAGGGAGCCTAACATCAAGGTATTCTTAATTTAACAGCTATCAATTTGACAACTAGACATTTATCTCACTCATTTCCTAAACCGATATACAGGTATTTGGATTTCAACTCCTGAGGTCCCTGAAATACAATAAAATCTTCATTTGATTTGAAAAGGTATAGTACACCACAGCTGCAGAGTTGTTGCTCTCTCTTCTAAGACAAAAAATAACAGAGCTTATTGTTCAGAGGTTAATGGGAATTATTACTTGCTCTCTATATATGCCTCAGGTTATTATCTTCTCTATTTTATTACTTGGTTTGTATGACAACTTTGATATTTTCTTTGTAATACATCTGACAGGTCTGTTAGATCTTGTCTACTTGATATTTTTATGAAATTATTACAATTATGAGATGGAAAATGAAATTATAAAAGATCTGTAGCATATAAGATTATCATACAGCTATGCCTTACTACAGAATCACACAAGCTCATATACACTCAACAGAATTTTTGTGCAATTACTCTGCAATACATTTCTGACTGAGGTTCCACCACTTCCACGTGCAAGATACTTTAGATTCCCACAATTAGAAAGCTTTCCTAAAATCTAATCAAATTCTCATTTGTTGCTAACGCAGTAAGTTTCTTATTGTCTCTCTCATGATAACAATAGAGTACATTTGATTACTCCTCCTACGTACAAACATTCTTTCTGAAGAAGAACTGTTTTTATGTCTTCTCCTTTTTCCAGACCAGACAAACCCAGTTCCTTCAATGTTTCCCTAGGGAAAACATTTTCTAAATCTCTCATCATTCATCTTGTTCACCTCCATGGCAAAAGACAGAATATGACAGAAAAGGAGTTTAACAAGGGTTTAGAGTAACACTGAATAGTAATTTTCAACAAAATACAACAGCCTGATCAAATATTGACTGAACTGCAACAGACAATGATGTTTTAGAACAGGCTTCCAGGGCTTGTTCTCAGCACAGCCAGTGGTACCAGTTCTCAACCACAAAAAAAAAGAAAAGAGAAAATCAGCGTTATTGCTTGCCAGCAGTGCTGCTTCTTTTTTTGCCAGACAACATGCAGAAATCACCAGAAAAACCCTGTGCTTCAGCAGTCAGGAAAGGTCCACAAGGAAGTCAATCTCTGAAATGTCAAAGGTTCTGCAATACAGAAAGGTCAATGACCTACCTGAGAGATACTGCATTAGGTCCATAGATCTCTCTCACTGCTGTCAAATCAGCTTCCAGCTGTGGGTGCTTGTGAAGTTCTCCATCATAGCTAACCTACCAGGGAAAAAAATACCCTAGGAGTTCTTGTTTATTTTGTTATTAGCACTTAACACAGGCTCTTGAAAATCCCCTCTGCAGAATAAGCTGCATAAAGATTCCTTAATGTCACACTCAGGAAGGTCACTGTGTTGATAAGCTGAAGCACTGAGCTGGTCTAGCTCTGCTAAGCAATGAGACTGGCAAAGCAGGCGCATCAGCACTGAAAGTTTTTAATGGTCTCACCCTCTTTGTGGGAAGAGAAGATGCAAAGGACTCAAGCCTCTGTCTCGTTCCGGGGTTTGTTGTGAGACTATTGTACGTTTTAAAACTGTGAAGTAAAAGAACCAAATATTCCCAGCCATATTGTCCCACTCCAACCACTACAGGACAAAGGTTTGCTCCTTCTTACTTGTTTTCACACTCTCAGATATATATTAGACACAGAACGGCTTAGGCTCAACAAGAGAAGCATGAACCTATTCTATATGCCAAATGTCTCAACATCTAAATTACATTTTCAGTCTACCTACTAGTATCAGATTAAAAAAAACATAAAAACTAAAGAACACTTTCCCATTTTAAATATTCTGCCAGGGGTGTAAAGAAAGATGTATTTAAACATCATTCCCATTTTTTTTCAAAATGGAAGAAGTTATGTTAGTGCTTACATTACAAAGCAAAACATGTGAAATGGTTTGGTTGAACTGTATGAAGTCAAAATAACTAATATCATCTTATCTTCTACATGGACCAAAACAGTCTTTAAGCTTTTAACAATCTATTCACAGCCTGTTACTACTTTCAAATGAAGCAATATGCTCCTGATTGCATGAACCTAATTCTACTTCTTTACAATAACTAGAATGAAAGTAATTCCACAGAAGTTGATGAACTCCTTAGATTTGGACAGATTCAGAAATGAGAGTAGGATTTGGCTTGTACTTTTGACAAATTCAGAGAGCAAGGCACAGAAGGGTAACTTATCGCTATAGATATATGTAAGGATATGTATCTAGACATATATAAGGACATATACACAGGAATTCCTGCAGAGAATTCTTGCTATTGCAGAACTGTATCTAGATGCAGTACTGTTTCCTCTGTTGGTACATCCAGATGTGTAGGAGACCAATGCTGTGACACTTTCAGCTCTGATACCTACAGGTGTACTCTTCAGTCTAATTAAGTAAATTTCAATCGAATTAATCACCTGATACTTTTTACATGTGAAAATAAGAAAAGAATAACTTGATTAAACTTAGAATTCTTCAAATGTAAGCCACAGAATTTATCAGCATAGCATGGGTATGCACCATCAAAAGCGTATGAACCACGTATCACTCCCTTGTTTGGGAAGGCATATCAGAAACATTTTCCAAGCAGAAGAGCTTGGGAAGAAAACTCTTATTATATTTTTTTTTCACTTTAGGTAGGAGCAAACCAATTCTTTTTACACACTCACTATTCAAAGAGGAATTCTTTAAAGATGCGTCAATAATTGCTGTCTTGCTTCCAGAGAGAGTACAGCAATCTTTTCACAAACCACAGCTGTGGTGAACTCACCACTGTCATCGGTCCTGAACCACACTTTTAAAATCAGTTTTATGTATCAATAATAGTAAAATCCAAAAGGAACACTACACAGAAATGCTGAACTACTTAACCTAATGCTTTCTCCAGTCTGCCTTCTGATGGCAAGAGGTTATGAACTCAAGAAGGAAACAAAGCAGTGTACTGGCAAATTATAAGACCATAGTATGCTATTTTCCACCCCTGGATTTGTGCCACAGACATGCCGGTGTATGCAGAGGAAATTGTCAAAGAGTTTTGTATATCTGTTTTTGCAAGTATGTTCTGTAACTGAAGCGCAACAGAGAGTGACAAAATTAGTAGTATTAGTGTTTCAACCTCCTGTTTTTGTTTCCAAATGTAGAAGATAGGGATTCAAAGCAAGAATTAACAAAGAGTTGCAGAGAAAGAGAATCTAAAAGCTAAAAAAACCTAATCATTTTGCTGTGTCTGAGAGGTTTGTGTTTAGAAAGTCTCAGTTTTTAATCTGAGACCTGATTTAGATTATTTTGTCCCACATAATGACAAAAGGTTGCACTTTAAAAGGAGATTAAATGATTTACAAACCTAAATCCTACTGAAAATCAATAGGAATTAGGCTATTGAATCACTTAGCTACTTGAAAGTATTCATCCATTAAATCCTTAGGGAGGATTACAAGCAGGTGCCTAGGAAGTGACTACAAAGGTTTAATTTATGACCAAAAGGTCGTATCTTCTTTTCACTGCTCATCAAATGTCATTTCCCATCTTCCATGGTACTTGTTTCATCGTCAGCTGCTCTCTTGCCTTTCAGGCTGTAACCACTAAGAAATTTTAAGAATTATCCTCAACTTGTACCTTTTCCAACTGTACTATGCAAAACTACACTGGCATCTACTCCTTCTTGTTGCTAAAGTCAGTATTTTTGTCCCCTTTCTCTGTGGGCACAGCACACACTTGTCTCAAATGAAGCAGCTTGCCTTGTTTGTTCCCTACGAACACAGGCAACTATTTTGTCTGCTCTTTCTATGGAGTTGCAAAACGGAGCCAGCACACACAACTCATAAGTACAGGGCCAAATCAGAAGATCTTTCCTCCCAGCCAAATTAAAATATGACATCACTCTCTGCACTGAATTGTGCATACTTGGTCCTCCCAGCGCTCCGTGGGGCCATAGCAGCCAGCAGCTGAAGGGAGGCAGTTTCCACATCCATCCCTAAAGGGAACACAAGTCCATACCCCATGTCAGTTATCTCTGGCACTGAAAACACCCTCTTCCACCTCCAGTTTTCAACACTGCTTTTAATGGCTTTTTAGGAGCATGCTTTTATTTTTTTTTCATAAGCACCTCAACATACACTTTGTGCTCATACTCCACCATGCTCTGTGGGACCAGGGGCTCAGTGATGTCTTGCTCATCAGCATCCCAGGTGCCCGCACTGAGTCTGGGCTAAGGCTGTGGTGACTTTAATATACAAGCAATTTGCTAAAATGTGCATCAAAATAGATAGCTTTAATAACATAAGTAAGGATCGATTCCTTTGGGGAAATAGTTAAGACTAAAAAGACAAGAAAAATCTCAATACAGAGACTAGCAGCATGAAGCGCTCCATTGACATTGCAAAAGGAAGAGACTGAGAGATTTTATTTCCCTATACGTCAGAGAATAAAGTAATTAATTCTGTTGAGGGAGCAAGAAATGAAGACACAGAGCAGTACATTAATCTAAAAACATGCAGCATTTTTCAAAGTGAATTTAACTGTAGAGCTCAAAAAACAATAGACTCCTGCCTAGATCAAAATTTTTTTGGAATAACCATTTTTACCATTCAACTGCAGTGCTCTCAACTTTAAAAAATGGCAATTGTCCAGAAGGAAACAGATTTGGATCCAGCCTGACTTCTATTTCTATCAATAACAGGATAAGTTTAAAGAATGAATATCTATTTCCTGGAAGTAAGCAACCGGTTTCTGTTTTCAGGCATCCTGAAGAGGACTTGTTTCTACTATTCTTGCACCTTTGCAAATGTAAACTGATTTTAAATCTGATATAATTACACAGTATAACATATTAGATATTTCTGCTATAAAATACAATGTGTAGATACAGATGGCATTCTATTTGATGATGAATAAACATAAATTTAATTACTACAATAAACCTAAAATAGAACGAACAATAGAAGCTTTCAAATACAAATTTCTTGAAATTTGTGCAAAGAATTTCTCTGTTACCTGTCCTCCATAATAAAATTCCTCAGAATCATTATCTCCTTCAGAGTCTTCTTCAACTGTGCTGTTTTGCCGTGACTCCTTAACGGAAAGGGAAAGTTAACAATGATACAAGTGATAAGTTTATCTTGCATTTATAGTTCTAATTATAACTACAGGAATTATGTTCTTACAAATAAGCTCATAGCACTCTCTTTACAGAGATCTTTTAGTATCATTTTCCCAGAAAAGTACTAAGCGCCTTTTTTCAGAATAGTGAAATATCAGACAAAACAAAAATCTATACTGGCTACAGACACAGTCTGGTATTTCAAGCAACTGGGGAAATAGGTAGACTAGTCGGAGATACTTCACAGGTTCTGCACTTAATTTGGTGTTTCAGTGACCTAATAAAATCTTAATTTACTTTGTTCTGTTAAATCAATTCTAATAGTTTAAGGAAATAATTCAAGTCCGAGCCTGGGATCTCTTAAGTTCCTTTCTAGGAGTAACTGACACGTTGCGGCTTAATTATTATTTTTAACAAAAGTTCCAGCCTGCTTCCAGGGAAGTTCAAACTTAATTTTCTGACTAGCTCTGTTCTGAGACTTTGAAAATTAAGGATTGGAAAGTAATAATGCTTACCCAAGTAAAACCTGCTCTAAATAGTCTGCTCTGTGAATAATTGCACTCAAGTAAATAGAACTGATCCTGGTACAGACTGCAAATCAGCATGAGCTGAAGTGTTACATCCTTCTTCCCACCAATGGAACCTTACACATAATTATGTGATTACTTCAGGATATTAATTCTTGTTTCCCACAATCTACATCTATCCCACAATCTATGGTTGGAAATTCTAATAATTTTCCCATTTTTCACTCTAAATTCCTGCTCTATTAATTGTACGTATGCATAGAGCAAAGATTGTATTTCAGCCAACTTCATAGCAATTTTCTATGACAAGGCATAGAAATAATTTCTGCTTTTCCTTCTACTTCACTGAAAAGAAACAGTGACTCCAGTCTTCTTAGTTTTATAAAAGCCTTAGCTCAAGGGGAAGTCTGTGTTAAAATAGAATTGAACAGAATAAAAACTCAACACAAATCAAAGAGAAATGAAATTCCCACTAGAGTAGCGACAAACCCATTCTACCCTAACCAAACCTCTTAACTGTCTAGACAACAGAAGAGGTCAGTGTTATAGACTTTTTTCTAAAGTTGTGGGGTTTTTTCCTGGTACTTTCATATTTAAGTACCTCCTTCAACTAAAAGCAAGATAAAAAAACTTTATCCTGTAGAAGCTACATGTATCGCAGGCTTTTAATCAAACAGGTAAATTGTTTTTGCATTGCAATTTTTCTAATGTTTACTAAGCACTGAATACAATACTTAGGCAGTAGAAGCAAAGTATTTTCAGTGCATCTTTTTATATTAAACTAGTTTTCATCTACTAAAAAAACCCAACCATACTCATTAGAATATCTGGGCATGCTTATCTCTCCTTTCCAGAATCAAATACAGTTCAGAGCCTAAACACCAGTTGCCCAGAAACTCAGCAACTAGCCTTACCAAAGGAAGTCTTTAAGACAAGCACCTGAATCCTTGACACCGTACTTAATTTCTTGCTTGCGGTTGGAGCCTATGCGGTACTTTCTTTTAGCCAGTAACACTGTCAAGCCCCATAGATTTCACGTAAGTGCCACTACTTTCTTGAGTTAATGTTTCAGTGAGACTGATCAGGGACCCATGACAGAGGTACAGCACAAATACAACCATCACTGGAATGTCTTAAAGCTACAGACACTGCTCATGGTGAACCAAGTGATGCAGGGGTCTACCAGTGAGCTAATAAATGGGATGTGCTCCTGTGTACAAGAGCAGGTTAAAGAGTAATGGCAGGGCAGGCAGAGTCTATACCACTGATGTACAAAAAATACATGTCAAAAACGTATTTATTTCACTAGGATGGGAGCAACTAAGCAATTCACTGTTTAATCCACAAAGGAAAACCAGAGAACTACATTCTTCTTCTAAAATTCGTAAGCGAGTACAGTTTGCATAAGCACACACTTGATAGGCAATCTACAGAAAACATTCATGTTTTATTATTTTACACTATTTCTCAAAATAAATTCTGTTAAAATATGCATCCAGGAAATACATACCTCTCCATTCTCCCTCTGTAATTTTGATTTTATTGACAAGCAATAGTTCACATCACTGGTTTTTCTTAATTCTTAAAAGAAAAGGGAAAATATGGAATATCTGTGAAAAACGTGAAATAATTTTGCATATGCAGACTTGAAATACTTAACTGCAGTAGTATAGCAAAGAAAGAAGAAGAAGCTTCAGATACAAAAAGGACCAAAGAATTTAACAACACAACAGTATAAAATTAAGAAGCCCCTACATGTCAGAAGGCTCACACTTTTTACTGTGAAATGAAACTCAGCTTTTCTCAATCTGTGAATTCAGTGTCACTTCATTTATTTTGTATACTTTTTAAAAGAATGAAAAATCAAAACCCCCCAGCAAAATAAATCACATAATTTTTTAGATAAAACATAGGTTTTTATCCTATTTTAAATGACAAGTTGCTTTTTTTTTTAAACTACATAAATACTTGCAAGCAAAATTTATCTTAAATTTCTGGCTGTAACAGACAGATTTTGTTTTGGTGTCACTGCACGAGTTCAGTAAAATCATTCTTGGTTTACAACGGTATAAATGAGATCAGAGACTAAAGATTATATCGGTTTTCCAGTGGAACTCAAAGTAATTCCATGGTATGCAAAAAAAGCCCTAAAGCTTTGTAATAATAACAAAAATACTGCAAAGTCAAATGTTCCTATCTGAAGAACTGCCAGAATTAAGATTGCTCTATGCGGTTTCTCCTGCAGCCTGAAATCATCAGGGAATTTGTCTGCTAAACTCTAAAAAGTCTCTAAGGAGTATGCACAAGTCTTGATTATATATTGTATAAATGTGCCTATATGTCCAAAAAGGATACCCTTTCATAGATCAAATACCTTTTGAAAGTATGGAAGTAATTTCAAATGAGAGATTCCCCAAATCATTTGGAAAAAATGTATTTTTTTTCTGTAAGTCTAATGTAGTGAAACAGCTGAACCATTTTGTTTGAAATTTTGTGAAATAATTCACCAGAGGCAATGGTAGTTACAGACTTTCATCCCCAGTGGTGAAGATTTAGTGAAGTTTTAAGCAAGTGAGCTTGAACATTTATAATTGGGAAGCATTAAGCACCTCTAACTGTATTCAAGGAGAATTGCTTTAGCACAGAATGCAAGATAAAAAGAATAAAATACATTCTGCCTATGCAGTTGTGGCGATCCTCAAAAGAAGTATTTTAATTTCTTCCATTCTGAAATGTAGGACAATTTAGGTCATGAGAAAACAGCAAACTATATGCTGAAGTCATTAACGCATCTCCCTTTAAGTGCAGGTAATATCTTGTCTTTCCTCACAAAATGTGCACTTGATGAAACACTCTGGATGTACAATTACCTGTAGCGATTTGGTGGAAAATTACCGGAATTGGCTCTGTTGTAACTAACACATCTTCATCGTTATCAGAACTGGAAACGTAAGTGTTATCTACGAAAGAAAAACACCTTGCATGGTGAAGTTCAGTTGTGCTCTGCCAGCCCCTTCCCATGTTGCTTGTCCCACTCTTGTAACATATGGAACCATTCCCCAGATGGTTAGGGAAGCCCAGCATCATTATCTTCCTGGTGTGTTGTGGGTTTGGGTGTTTTGTTTGTTTTTTGCTATTGAGATTGCTAACAAAAAGAAAAAAACACCAAAAGCATGGAAGATTCAGATCCAGATTTTATACAAACAAACCTCTGGAGTCTGATATCATGTCTTTTGTGAATCACATTAGGCACTGCTCAAAACTCTCCCAACAAGGCTTATGGGGGTTTGCGTCAACTTTTTCCAGAATGAAGACTTATTCTACACTTTTTGCTAGGCCTGGCACTAAAACTCAAGCTGGATCTGCTGTGGAGAGTGAAGGTTGCATTCAGGGCGGCGTGTTAACAGCTTGTTATGCAAATTACTTGTGCCTTGTTTTGCCTAGTCACATAAAGGTTTTTTGAAGTATCTTCTAATCAGCAGATAGCCTTTCTTCTAATTCAGAAAAAAAAAAAAAATTCCTCTCACTTAAGAAAAATGTTAGGTACCAATATGAATATGGAAAGTCTATCCCAGATTTTTTTACCAAGTGTAGGGATTAGGCTTAGGGGAATGTGTTGGGTTTTTTTGGTTTGGATTCTTTTTTTGCTATCCAGCCAAAGACTTAATTACAATAAACAAGGAGTAGCAAGTTTTTATGTAGTATCTGCAGAAGCTAATTTTGCACGAATTGTTGATCTATGCATGAAACTAATAATACTTTTGTTTCCTACCTAAATTGAAACTTATGCTCTAGAGCAAAAAGGCTGGTAACTAAAATAATCACACATATCACTATGAAGGTGGTAAAATACTGGAACACGTTGCCCAGAGAGGTGGTGGAGGCTCCACCCCTGGTGGCATTCAAGTTCAGGCTTCACGGGGCTCTGAGCAACTTTATTTAGTTAAAGATGTCTCTGCTCACTACAGGGAGGTTGGATGCAATGATCTTTAAAGGTCCCTTCCAGTCCAACACGTTCTATGATTCCATGAGTCTATGATCCTGTGAGTCTATGATTCTGTGATTAAGAGACAAGTAAGAAAACTGAAACAAGGACCTGATCTATCATAATTCCAAACACTCTGGTCCCACATCAGCAAAGTACATTAACTCACATTTAGTTCTAAGCGTACTGTTGAAATCTCAGGGCCTTTGACCACAGCGTTTGCAGTGAAATGTTAAAGATGCTAACACTAACTGAGCAGTAAATTCAATAATACTGTCATTTGTATCACAGTGGTTCTTAGCAGCCCACACTCAGACAAAACCCTGGCTGTGCCACGCTTCCTTTGCAGCGTAGCAGCTGCATGGAGCTTCCCCAGCTCATCAAACAGCCTTTCTGCCACATTCACATGCATCTACCGAGTCTGATGCTATCCCACACCTTCGCCTACTTCCAGTGCTGCGCTGTCCCACGGGGTGATCCGGACAATTGGCTCAGCAGGCACACGCGGCGCGCAGGCAATCGCTCCAGGAGGCTGTGCCCACCCTTCCCTGAGCACTGCGCTCTGCTGGGCACACCAGCCTGCTCCCTCAGCTCCTTCTGTGTCTGCTCGGCCACGCGCTTGGCACAGCGGTGTGTTTTAGAGCCATGGCATAGTGTGAATAAAACGGGGTCCCTTCAGCCATCTGCCAGCACTTGTTCCTTCTCCCACTTTCGTCAGTCAGCAGGACACGCTGTGAACCGCACCTCCAGGACAGCTGCATCTCACCACAAACCCTCTGTCTTGCCTCTATTTGACCTCTCCACCTTGCTGTCATCATCTCAGTGTCAGCCTCACCATGCTGGATGGCTCACTCCTTTCCCAGGTTTGGGAAAGCAATTTACTGCTATGGAGTCTAATGAGCTGGAGTTAAAGTGGCCATCACTTGTCTTGAAATATATCTAATGCCATATATATATGGATGGGACAAAGGAAATCATGGGATAGAACTTATTGCTGCACAAAAAAGTTGGAAAAAACAACCAACACGTGCTGTACAGAATAGGCAATTACCAAGATATACATATATGGAAAAAAAAGACTGCTCTGATACAGGTTTTATAGATTTTAATTATATTTTTATGCCCACTGTCATTCTTTCTTGGCAGCTGGATAATGCGATTGTCACTGCCAAGCTTTTGTTTTCCTTTTCTCTTTGGCAGCCATCATGTTTTTTTTCTTTTCTTCCATCAGTCTAATGAAACGTTACATTAAGATACTGATTTTTTGTTTGCTTTCTTTACTATCCAGTTTCTAATAAGCTACACCCAGAAACGTCTCTCTTAAACAGAGGACCTAGTGCCTGGACCTAGGAGAGGAGTGCAGCAAACCACTCGCTGCCAAACTGGTTCTCTCTGTCTCTGCTGCAATCTAACAAGGTCTAAGAAAACGCTTCTGTTAACACATGTGTAACCCACAAATCACTGGGATAAAAGACTATAGCAGTTCTATAAGCTTATGGCACCCAACACATATCACTCCAAAGATATACATATTCATTAGCAAAATGCTTGATGCTGTAATGGTTCTCACAGGAGTCATGATCCACTCATATTAATGGGACTTTAGTCTATTCATTGATGTTACACTCTACAACTGCTCCTAAGGAGCATTATTTTCCCCCAGTTGTGTCAATGTTATGACAAAATAAGTTACAGAAATATTTTTCTGGAACTGCTATTATCTGCCTCTAAAGATCTCTGTGATATTTTCACAATTTCAGTGATATATATATATAACTTCGAGACATTACTGTCTCAACAGAATTCATATTAAGTTGTTCAGTATGCCTTTGTGAGCCTATTTTTAGCTTCCAGTCATAATTATTAAACTTTCAAACACCTTCCATTACTGAAAGTTGTCATCTCATATTACAGTTCCCACAGGTATGATTTAATGCTCAGCTGTTTGTAATCTTTTGATGCTTTATGAAGCTATTCAGCATCAGCTACATACTGCCAAATAGCAATGCAGGGAGCTGGAGCATATGCAGCACCCAAAGCTCTTACAGCATCTAAAATTTACTAGTTGGAGTATCAGTTTTGGCTGAATGACCTTCATTTGTATTGTAACTTAATCTCTTACATATTTACATATTTTATTTCTTGCATTAGCAATTTATCTGATGATAACTTCTCCTGGATTTCTAAATTTGATCCAATGTGCACTACACACTATTAATCTTGAGAGGATACAACTTGATAATGGACTGAAACCTCAACCTGTGAAGATTTATCCTGTGAGAAACTTAATTTGACATGCTGCTTTGAACTCTATGAAGTAGCAGCGATACTTGAAGATCACTTTCTAGTTGAGGGCAGTATTAGCAGAGAGCTTCCCCTACTTGACACCACTGCACCCTGACACGTCCCCAAAACATCCTAAAAGGCATGGCAGAGAAGAGAGACACAGTCTGCAGTAATGTTAAAGCAGATTTAGGACAAAGAGGGGAGACAAAAGATCTAGCTCATCAAGTCAAACCAAATATTTTCAAGATCGAAGCCGTAAAATGACAGAGATTCATTATCATTCCTAACACACTGAACACCTCATCATCACGAAGCAAACATACATCGTGCAGAAGCTTGAGATATGAATGAAATCAGGTCTTCCAAAGCCTTGAAGGGTTAGATTTTAACCAGTAAACATGTGCAGCTGCTTTACACCTCCCAACAAGGTAGCTACAGTGCAAAACGTTCAAATTTTATCTGGCTTGAAAATGTAGGAGGTGATGGCAGAGAATATTCATTAGGTTTTAGAGCCACGAAAGTAATTCAGGCTTGTAGGCCATCAGGGCACGCTGCATACAGTATCCATAAGGGAAATCTGAGGTCTGCCGCAAGAGTTTGACAGGAGATGAGATCTCACAAGCTGTGGGAATAACTACTGTTTCAAGGCTCAACCTGCCATTTAATTAAAGGGTCCTAGAGATCAAGTTTTGGGATGTTTACTAAACCAAACTGTTACTAACATACGATGAAGACTTTTCCCAACTATTTGTCCCTTTGTTGATTGCCAGGTCAATGGATTAATCGAAAAATCAGCATCACTGATACGACTGTGTATTTTATGAATCTGTTTCTCCCCTTGCAACATGTTGAATAGATTATTAGTAGTAGCAGATTTCCTTCCAGTTTTTACTGGTTAAAAAGATATCTCTCATAATGTTTGCTAACATTCTTTCACATAATCCACTGTATGCAGCACCATTGCTGATGCTGCTTTCTGTATCTGCTTCAAACACTCTGGTATTTTGAACATAGTCCACTGCTTATCAGTGAAGAAGATCAAAGCCTCACTTCTTTAGAGATTCTAAAAGAAAAAAGAAATACTTCTTTTAGAAATATTACAGAGATGTTATGGATAACAATCAGAAAAGGCCAGAGGGTTTCCTATCATTCATGGTACTTACACTATTAAATAATCCCAGGTGCAGAACACACCATGCACCTTTACTTGCATAGTGCCCATCTGCCTTCACCCCTGCTTCCCTCTCCTGCTTCTGCTAACTTCTGTGCCCCCTGAAGTATCTGTGTGGCCTCCATGTGAAGGAAATCATGGAAATAAGCTAGCCGAACACTACCTTTTGCTCTAGCCTAGTTGTCTTTCACACAAATAATTTCCTTTGTCTACACTGGCCACATGGTTACACAAATGTTTTTGCCAACCCAGCTCAGGCTGGCACCTGCGATCAGGTTTAAAAGCTTACGTGACCAAAGACATACCCATACCCTCCAGTTTGGCTCCCGTTTCTCAAGAAGCATCAGTCCACAGGCTTAACTCAAAGAACGTGTGTAGTCTCATCAAGGTCTAACAGAGAAGTGCTGTGCTGGCCCCATGACAGACTGCTCAGCCTCCTGAAAAATCAAGCTGTATCCACCCTGTTAAACGGCAGATGGGGGCTTTCTCACTCCCATCACTGCTGGCTCCAGGCATGAAAAACAGCATAAGCTCCCGTCTCTGCAAACTGTGAACCAGATTTTCTCACCCTGACCCAGCTGAGAAATGACACCTGAAAAGGAGAACTGACTGTGAAAATAATCTAGCTAATGGTAAATGATGAGCACAAGGATGCACCTGGAAGACATCAACACCCCTTCAGATGTTCTCATCTGAATACTGCAAATTGCATTAACAGGCATACATGTGTCATGGACAGAATGTTGCACTGTACCTGGGTAATCCTCAGAGACATGCACTGAATAGGATACACTGTAAAAAGAAAAAAAACAAAACACAACAGAATTAATAACAATAACATTAACTGCTGGCATAACACCTTTTTTTATAGGCCTGTATTATTTTATACTTATTTATAGGTTCCTGACAGTTTCCAGGACAGAAGGTAACAGCTATTTTGATGGCTTTTGAAGTGCTCAGCTAAAAAAAAAAACCTGTCATGCCCACTGTGAAAGCTTACTTTGCTAAATTGTCACATCCTGATTTCAACCTTCTTAAAAAGAACATCAAGACTGTATGCATTACATTCACTTCAGAGTAACATTTCACAATCTGTACTTATGCTTAAAAAAAAAAAAAAAGTTGCTCTTTGAACACCAGAACTAGAAAAGCCCAGTTTTCTCTGCATTTGATTTCAGGGTTTGACTCCAGGCTCAGCAGGAGGCTTTTCTTGCTGGCTGGGGCACTTCTATGCATTCTGGTTAGTCTCAGCAAAGGCTCTGGATGGCTTGGGCTCCTTCTTCTCATCAAAATCCTGTATTTAAAACAGTTGTGGCAATTTCGTTTGATACCTATGCCTTTTTGTCAAGCTGAGTTCAAATCAAATTTGAAAGAGCCGCAGTCACACAGAAGGCAAGCTTCACTACTTGGATTATCAGAATCTGTTTCATCAGAAGACAGTCACAAACTGGTCCTGGTCTACCACGTGCCTTCCCTAGCACCCAGTGAGACTTCACTAAACCCACTGCTGAGGGCATGACACATGGGCATTACAGTCTCCTTAGTTATCTAACTACCCCTCAAGTCCTTCATATTTTTTTAAAGGTTAATGTGTGTCTTTATTTTGCATTAAAAACATTCAACTGCAGCATGCTGAAAGCTTTCTGTTGTATAATTCATGTTCTTTCCACTTCTAAATCCTATAAATTGTATGTGTCAACTTACACACTTAAATAATACATGGCATGTGTTCCTGTCTGTAATGAGTTAAGAAGACAAAGGCAGGATGGCACAAGCTCTCTTAATAAATTTTGATACGTATTGTATATTGTCGAAAATTGATTCAGGGGATCTTTCTAAATTACATGAATGCAGCTTCCATGTAGACTATAAAATAAAACTATGTATGACTCCTTTCTTTTTCTCCCTCAAGGATTTCCACTAAATGAGCTCCACTTCCACAATCCAATGATTGTAGGAGGCAATCAATACAAAAAAGCTGGTCCCACTTTCTTCCATAAGTCAATCGATTACCACACAGCTCTGTCACCTGTTTTTGCGCATCATCTATTCTAGCATAATTTGTTCTATGTATTGTTTGACTAAGAGACAAAGATGCCTGTTTCTTCAGCAGCTGCAAATGTTCACATAAATTGAAGCAGAGTGTTCATTACAGCTGACAACATTTAGCCACACAACTCTTGATAGCCTCAGTCAAGCCAGCATGAAATCCCGTCACTGTGCAAATTCAATGTTTTGTGATCTTTCTCTTTTAATTATTTTTCAGACATTTGGAATAGGCAGCATCTGTATCCCCTCATCTTGAAGCTTATTCCCTAAAGGCTGGGGTATTTAAATCTAATTAATCTGTCATAGCATAAAATATAGCTATTTTAAATAGAGAGACGCCAGACTTAGGAAATGATGTATCTCAGTGCAGTCACACGTGCAGAATTTTGCTCTGTGGTGCAAAAGAAACCAACGCCACCACCAAAAAAAAAACCCTAAGAAGTTAACTAAGGGCCTATTCCTACAAAAATCCATCTTCTAGATGTTTTGTGTGTAACCATGACATCTTCCTTCTACTACTGAAAGAGGTACTTCAGTCCTACTCTTTCAGGAAGGCTGCTTGCACACCTCTTTGATGCCTCCTCCTTTGGTGCTGTGTATGGGTTTGCTTGACTATTGTTGTACAGGATTATCTTTCCATATGAATACAGGATTATCTTTCCATATGAACGTTTATTCCGAGAAAAGTCTTTCTAGACCTCACTCCACATTCTAACTTAAAACCCACCTTATTCTAATTTTAAAACTGCAGCAAAACAGGGCAATTTCATGTATGTGTATACATACTGAGACAAGAATGGGGCAGAAATTACAGAATTTCCGTAAGTGCAGATATTCAAAGCTTAGCTGAATAAGGCTCTTGGCAACATAATCTATCTTTGAAGTTGAATTTGACCCGCAGTTAAGTTCTGCTTTGAGTGAGAGGTGGAACAGGTAGTCTGCACAGGTCATGCCCTCACATAATTACTCTATGCACTTATGTGCAGAAACTCCATGAAAACATATTTCTCTTTCTTCTGTCTGATCATGTGGCATCTGTGGCAGCAGCAGCTGTGGTGATGTTAAATGGAAACTAATAAGAAAAAAACCACACTCTCAGTCTTGTGAGATGGAACTAAAATGGAAAAGTTCATGAAGATGCAGGTTAGAAATAGTCTCTAATCAGATCCTGCAACAAACGTAAGCAAATTCAGGCTCTGACCCAGAGCAGTGGTCTCATTACTAAGACTGATATTATCAGAGAGGAAAAAGGGAAAATCATGTAAAGTAAAATTATTCTGTGATTCCAGTCCTCCTACAGAAAAAAATTCCCACCGAAAACTGATGTCACTTCCATCCAAAAGCATTAATAGAAAATCAGTCTGCCAAACTAAGATTAAATGGTAGTGTGTTGGATATAGTAATGAAATCTGACGAGCTTGAGATGCCACTTCAGAGGAAAGTATTTTAAAAAGATATGAACCAAAGATTAAGCAGCAAAATGCCCGAATATGGGATATTTACTTCCAATTAAAATACCAATAGCTTTTATTAGAAAAACTACTAACTCAGTTCAGAAATTGAACAAACTTAGTTTAGTTCTTGACTCAGCAGAACTATTAGTTTATTTTGCTGAATGTGTTTAATCTGAAATTCTTTACATTATTAGTTTCACCTTTCTCCTCCACTCTCTGGAAAGAAAAAAAAAAAAGAAAAAAAGAATGTCTAATTGTCTTCTTTCCACATAAATTTAAATCTTCAGGACATGTTGGGATGTCTGTGCTGCCCTCTCTCTAGTGTGCCCAGCTGAATGTACTTTAAGAAGTATCAGTGATGTATTATGATAGACAAAGCTCTTGTGGGAACAGCCTTTCAGATAGCCCACTGCTCTCATGCATATCTAAACGCATGATTGAGGAGAATAAATGGCTTGTTTGAGCCTCCAGAGAGAGGCAGTCGTACTTGGTTTGACCTTGTAATCTTATGTTAGTTATATGCAGGCTATGGAAACAAAACTGACCAGAACAAAACTTGGTTTTGTGCCCCAGCTGATCCCTCTGACTGTCACACGGGATCACACTGTGGCCTGTTTTTCTGCACGCAGGATAAACTGCTCCACACTGACTGCACATGACTTGTCAGAAAACAAGATACACCAGGCTAATAAAGGTCTTGGTCTCTCAGGAAGCTCCTGTCTTGCAGCCACCCAAGCATTTTCCCATTGACTTCAATGAGATTTAGAGCCAAGACAGAAACACAGCACTATGATGGCTTACAGCACCTTAAACAGCAGAGACTTCAGTGAAGATGTAGATGTTCAATGCCCTTGGTGTTAAATCCTCTCAGAGCCAAAGAAAGCCTTTTCCGAAGCAGCTTTCTCATTTAAGTACTCAGAAATATAACTGGAATTAATTTCGGCCTGGCCCGCACATAGTACAACATGATTATTCCAGTGAGAGATGTGATTTTTCCTTCTGGCAATGCAGTTGTTCTGCACAATCCTATTGCAGTTACATTGCTATAAATACAGCTTATAGCACTACAATTTATTTCCATTCCCATAAACACACTCTAACCAGCCAATCATCATCCCTTCTCCTTCAGTTATATTGCTTTAGCTACATAAACACACTTAAAACTCTTGGGTGTAAACAAAACCTCAATGATGGTGTTATTTCTGTTTTGTTCAGCTTACGATCCTCTGCAGCAGGCATCCTATAGTACATGTTTCTTGACTCCTAAGCTCAGAACAAGCTTAATGTAAGAACTGGCCTAGTAAAACTTTTGTTGTTTAACAAACAGCAAAGCACCACATGAGAAATTAGTGAGAGCTGTCATGTTTCAGTGCTTATTAGTTTTTAATGTAAACTTTTTACTGCTTGAAATAATATTAGTACGTAGATCCACAGCCTTATCTTAGTAACAGAGGACTCCTTACAAGCATTTTCCATTGTGTTTTAACCATACCTGTTTTCTTCTTCAGAAAGATTCTCCTGCATTTGAAAACTAATTTATCAACTAGATGGAGATCCACCACATAACTGCTGTTTTTCACATTAATCTGTCTCGATTTGGCAGATTCATCTGCCTTTGGCATTACTATAATTTTTCAAAGCGAGTTGAAAAGGTGTCTAGAGTCTGAGCTGACTATACGGCCAGGAAAAGTATTACCCAAAATCTCCAGGGCAAGAAAAAAAATCCTTGAAATTAGAAAAAGGCAGCAAAGCAAAACTTAATGCAACAGAGCACACTCATAAAAAGGAAGAGAGACAGCTTTATCTCTTTTCATCAGTTTGTAAGGTTTTTTCCCCCATGCTTTGAACCACAGTTTTTACCTTTCATGGTACAAACTCCAAGATCGGAAACATACCCTGAAGCCACAACAGTGGCATTGGAGCTGGAGTGTGTGACTGGAGTGCATCTTCCCATCAAATTCATGTTATCTCAACTCTATGCCACCTGTAGTTTCTCTCTAGGAAAGAAATCCTTTAAGCTGAATTTCCAGCTGTTTTGCACAGCAGAAACAGCATGAAGCATCTGGCGCAAGTCTAAGATTTATGAAATGGTTATGACAATGCAACCAGCTCTGTCCTATGGCAACAGCTGACTTACTGCCTTATTAAGTGTGGAAATTGTGATCTAGTTTCTATTCTAGTTTTAGCAGTCTCTATTAGAGCCAGAGCTCCATGTGCTAATGTTGTAATTTACAAATCTGCTGAAAAAAGGAAGTAAGATTTTTTGTCATGTAGAATCTTACGACAGTC